ACGTGCACGTCTAGCCAATCCCAGGGACAGTCCACGCCCAATTGACCTGCGCGCTCTTCACGGGACTCTCGAGTCGATGGGCGGCTCCGGCTGTCACGCAACCCCCGGCGTCCGCATGGGGGAGAACCGACCGGCACTTTTGGGTGTGTATGCATATTGAACTTCTTTAGCGCCGTACGTAGCCAACCTTGCTCATTGAATGTGCGTTCGTGGCGACTGCACCGCGTCACACGCGCGCCGCTCAACCCCAGATTCGAAACTAAACTTTTTATTTATTTTACCAGGTAAGGCACACTGAGCTATATATATAAAAGGCTTTTTTTCAGAAGCGACCTGGCCACAATTGATAGCTCAACGAAGTGGCTTATCACCATCTGGGAAATTTATAGCGGCCAAATACTCAAAACCGCGTGTTTCTAAATGCGGAGGGGAAAAAAACGAAGGACCCGGAGAAAAATCCACGCGACCACGGGGAGAGAGAGACACGCAAACTCCAAATACACCGCAGGCATCAGGGTCGGAATCGAACCCACAACCTCCTTGCATACCGGGCGAGGTAGTTAACATCCCGCCACCGCGGCGCCCGGGATATCATCGGTGCAGGCTCACAGCTCGGACCCCTGACAGAGCCTGGCTGCGTTTGAACTGAACATTAAAGTAGTCTAGTTGGGTGCAAGCTTGCGGTTTAGGGTGTGCGATTCGCAAGCTGTCAGTCGTGAGTTCACGGCGGTCGATTCGGCCTATCATCCCTCAGGGACAGAAAAAATGAGTACCGCTTTGTAGGAAGTCAACATTGTTTGTTCGATTGGAGAGACCGGTTCCCACCATGCGAGTGTGGAATTCTCACCACTGGCACAACCCAACACTGACCTGGGAGGTGCGACACATTTTGACTTTGAGCACTACGCCTCTGAATTATTCATTGCATAAACTTGTTTATCTAATTTTATTTTCAAACGTAAGCGACTTACCAGTATGGTTTTTTTTTTTATAAACATTGGTTTACCGACTAACGTTCATAAGCGGGCGTTAACCAACTCGTAATAAATATGACTAATAAGCTGATGTCGATGTTTCATAATTTCAATACGAATAACAAACTGTCACTGATCTCTGCAGTGACAAATGTGATGACGCAATTCTCTATCATCGCGGTTCATCGCAGAGGCAGCAAACGATTGAATATATTTGGCGAAGCTTTTAACATTGTGCACATTTTACACAGTGGGCACGTTCTGCATTGCCAGAAACTGCGTCCATCATCGCAATGGGTTATTTTTATTTTTTTTGCGCGGGCACTCTCTGCCACACAGAGAGTGCCCGCGCCTTGCTGAGGAAGACAGTGCTGTGATCCGGGCCCGAGAGAATGGAATGCGAAACCGCACGGTCACGACAATAATTTACGTGAAGTCACCGGTGACTGACACAGGGCCATCAAAGGTCGCTCCTCACGAGAACCTGGAATTCGAACCCAGGGTCTCCGTGGGGGCAAATTCTCTCTGTTTTTGACATGACACTTCGTAGACACGTACATGTATCGCCGACGGACGTAACCTCTCCTGCAGCAAGGCAACATTCGGAAACGGTCTCCGAGTCGGAGGGGAGCAGCACAGCGGCACGAGCGGACACGTGGACTCCGAGCGGGACTCGTCAGCGGCATTAGCGCCGGGACGTCCGCGCAGAAACGGAATTTACCCCAACGGTTGCGAGTGCTGCGCGCGGGGAAAAAAACCCCATCCACATCCGCAGACGTTTCCCCCCGAAAGCTTTCTCGCGTTTCATCAGGCGTTTTATTTCCGTAGCCATTTCGCCACCGCCTTCTCTCTGCGCTTCTTATTTCACCCGCTCGAGAAGCCACGCTTCCCACCATGGACCATCATGGACCATCATGGACCATCATGGACCATCATGGACCACCATGGACCACACACGGACAACGACTGAGTCACTCGAGCGGCACGTTGCTCGCACGAAAGGTGCGTCTGGTGGCTTCAGGAGACCGGAGGAGCAGGGAGCCGGCGATGCTGGGCAAAACCTGGGTTCAAATCCCCCGGGGCAACTCGCCCAGGATTCGAGCCCGCAAGAGGGCACGTCGCGCCCGAGCGAGTTTGACGGTCCCAATCTGGTCGCCGATGCCTGCGCTCATTTCACCGATGGTGAAAATAATCTGCGGTATCGCTATCCTTGTCGGTCACGCGGTCGAGGGGATTCTTGGCGCACTGTAAGCTGTATTCGTTCACAGTGTCTGGCTCCAGCCGCTTAACGTCTTGGTTTGGTGTTGTCCCCCCCCCCCCCCACGCCTCCTGTTAACACGGATGGCTACACACGGTGCGGAAGACGTTTCATCATACATACACACATGGTCGAGAATATGCCGCCTCGGCAGCCTCGCTCGTACCAGCTGTGGTCAGCAGATATTCTCTCCCCTCTCCATTACGTATTTCCATACCCAGGTCAGCCAGGTCGCTCTTGCAAATGGGACTATCCTTGTCTCTTGAATTCTCACACGGTTAAACAACCATCACCGTTCTGTGGCCTCATCTCTGTAGACTCCTACCGCACACCTCCTCCCCCTACACACACCACCTCGAAATCAATCCCTCCCGTGCCCTAAGATAGCAACGCCCCCCCCCCCCCCCCCCAAATGCGTTCACACTTAGACGCTGTCAGCGAGCACCGCTGAAGTCCGGCACGGCACGCCGGCGTCACCATATTCACGTGTGCGCGCACCCTCACCCTCACCATCCCCTTCACCCCTCGTCATACTCTTTACCGCACGGACACATTGACCGCATGCACATTCCCCCGAGACAATCCCTTTAAACAAACGGCATCGGCTGGGGGCAGGCAGGGACGGGGGGGGGGTTGTTGAAATTGAGCCGATAGTTCAAACAAGGGGGCAGATCAGCGTGACATCCCGCGGCTCGATGCTCGTTACGGTAATCCTGCACGGAGGGCCAGGGGGGATGCGACGAAGGTGAACCGCGCGGCGCGGCCCCGAGCAGCCCTCCTCTGCCGTGCGTCTCGCCAAGCGCCTTTCGGGCAGTGACGGCCCCCGGTGACCTCTCCGTCTGTCTGCTGGAGAGGAAAGGCTCTGCGTGGCTTTGGATGAAATGTCAACTCCAACCGGAGAACCAATCGGACGGACTTTTGTCTCTCTCCATCCTTGCCTTTTGTGTGCGAATGTGTAACGGAGACGTCACCGGTGTTGAGGAGCGAGGGTTTTTTTATTTATTAGGAAGCGATCATCGTCGTCACTCGGTGAGAACACGTTGAGATTAAACATTTTTTTATTATTTTGCAAAAGGAGATCTGCGCCATAGAGACGTAGCCACGCCACAGATGGGGACGGCGAGAACGCAGCTCCGCTCACCGCTGTCCGACTCGGGCCATGGACCCGAGGGATCGCCCGTGGCACTGGTTGATGAAGATCTCCCGCTAGTTATTGGTGACTGTCGGGGCAAGTGGCAAGTGCCGTCGGTGGGCAAATTGTTACGACTGGCTCCCTCGTGCTGATGTTCACACATCGACAGCTTGTACAGTACTCATTTAAGGCCGAGTCAATCTAGGGAACGCCCACAATAGATTCAGATAGCACGAGCCACTGACGTTACCAATGTCTGAGATTCAATCCCGGATTTACCGAGTCTATGGTCCAGTGCCCGAACCACTGCTCCCAACACTCACACACGGAGATAAAGCTCTTCCATGTGCAGCCCACGGCACGTGCAAGGTCAGTCTACTGGGGCGTGTGCCGTGTGCGTGCAACCAGCATTGACAAACACAACACAAAGGAAGCAAATACGCAGAGACAAACACACAAACACACTCACAAAGTAGGAAGACAGCCTGGTGAGAGAGAGCGGAATGCGCCAGTGGCCTCCCCGCTCACCTGTCACCTGTGCGGTGAAGAGCAAACCTCACCAAGCCACAGCACCGAGCGGGCCACTCACACAGCGACTGCCCACACCCCGACCCACGTCCCTCTTCCTAAACCCGGCGTCAGTGAGCGTGTGGGTGAGTGGGTGGGTCAGTGAGCGCGTGGGTGAGTTGGTGGGTCAGTGAGCACGTGGGTGAGTTGGTGGGTCAGTGAGCACGTGGGGTGAGTAGGTGGGTCAGTGAGCACGTGGGGTGAGTAGGTGGGTCAGTGAGCACGTGGGGTGAGTAAGTGGGTCAGTGAGGGCGTGGGGTGAGTAGGTGGGTCAGTGAGCGTGTGGGGTGAGTTGGTGGGTCAGTGAGCGTGTGGGGTGAGTAGGTGGGTCAGTGAGCGTGTGGGGTGAGTAGGTGGGTCAGTGAGCGTGTGGGGTGAGTAGGTAGGTCAGTGAGCATGTGGGGTGAGTAGGTGGGTCAGTGAGCGTGTGGGGTGAGTAGGTGGGTCAGTGAGCACGTGGGGTGAGTAGGTGGGTCAGTGAGCGTGTAGGTGAGTAGGTCGGTCAGTGAGCGCGTGGGGTGAGTAGGTGGGTCAGTGAGCGTGTGGGTGAGTAGGTCGGTCAGTGAGCGTGTGGGGTGAGTAGGTAGGTCAGTGAGCACGTGGGGTGAGTAGGTGGGTCAGTGAGCGTGTGGGGTGAGTTGGTAGGTCAGTGAGCACGTGGGGTGAGTAGGTGGGTCAGTGAGCGTGTAGGTGAGTTGGTAGGTCAGTGAGCGTGTGGGGTGAGTAGGTGGGTCAGTGAGCACGTGGGGTGAGTAGGTGGGTCGGTGAGCGTGTGGGGTGAGTTGGTAGGTCAGTGAGCACGTGGGGTGAGTTGGTGGGTCAGTGAGCACGTGGGGTGAGTTGGTGGGTCAGTGAGCACGTGGGGTGAGTAGGTGGGTCAGTGAGCACGTGGGGTGAGTTGGTAGGTCAGTGAGCGTGTAGGTGAGTAGGTCGGTCAGTGAGCGCGTGGGGTGAGTTGGTAGGTCAGTGAGCACGTGGGGTGAGTGACAGAGGGAGCGAGTGGGGTGAGTGACAGAGGGAGCGAGTGTGTTTGGTGAGTGAGTGCACGCGGGTGTGGGCGAGCACGGACCTGCTTTGCAGGGGTCCTTGTAGTCCACCTCCTCCGCCGCCGTGTCCTGCTCAGCAACGCCGCCGCCGCTGTTGCTGAAGCTGCTGCTCGGCGGAAACTTGGCAAAGTCCGTGCGGGCGAGGCGAGGCAGCAGCAGGAGCAGCAGTCCCGTCACGGGCAGCCGGGGCCCGGCCATGCTGTCCTGGCTAGGCTAGCCTGGCTGTGCGGGCTGGGTGGAGCGGGGAGGGGGGCCGGCTTCGTGGAGCGGGGAGAGCGGCGGGCTGGCCGCTGGGATGCTGCTGCTGCTTCTGCGGAGTGAGGGGTGGGGGGTGCGGGGCAGCAAGGGAGCAGGCGATGATGAGTGGGGCTGGAACGGAGAGCAGTGGTGAGTGGTAGCGAGCGAGCGAGCGCCGCGTGTTCGGAGTGGGGGTGTCGTGGGTTGCTGGGAGAGGCGGGGGTATGGGGGGGGGGGGGTGCTTTGTGGGTGAGCGATTTGCCCTGGTGCCGGTTTGACCGTGGAACGCATGATTGCCCAAAATGCAGGGTTCGATTGAACGGGGTGGCCACAAATCATTTCGCTCCGCGCTTAGCTCCGTTGATTTGTTAAATAAAATAAATGCAAGTGCTTCTTGTCCCCACTGGCATCACTCGTGCACCCCAAGTTGGTAAATTTGTAACGTGCATGATTCATGCATTGCGAGAAGAAGCGCTCTTTCTATTTGTGCAAACCTTTGAGTGAGCAGGGACGCTGCCGCGGTGCAATGGTTTTGCACGCTGGACATGCGATCCGGAGGTCACCGGTTTGATTGTCCCGACGCGGCATTGGGAATGGTAACAGCAAAGTCGATTGACAGGTCACGTGTGGTGGGGTAAAGTGTGGGAATACTCTCACATCATCCAAGACGCCTGGCCAACTTGGAAGAGTAGGCCAAACACCTTCGAGAGCAGTGGTTCCAAACCTTTATGGCTCCGCGGACCAATGTCAACCTTCAAACAACATTCGTGGACCACCGTGCAGTGAATCAGGACGGATCTGCACCAGTTTCTGCACGGACTACTTCCCATGGCCGTGAGGACGATCTCTGGTGCTAGGGGAGGCCATGTCCCCCAGCAGTGGCCAAGAGGAAGACATTGCATGGCTGCTCCTATACAGTTGCAACGTCATACCAATGTGGTGTCAATGAGTAAAGCCGTGATGTTTTTGTATTGCCGTGGTGATTTCATATTGCACCAGGTATAGGCTTGCCATTAGCACCATCGCCCTGCAAGCCTGTATCAAGCAATGCAGTAACTTTCTGACCCAGCCCCTACTGGACATCTGTGGAAAAAGAGCTTTATAGCTAATCGGATTTCTCCAGTATAATAAATATTATGATTATAAATTTAAATCCCCCCTGCAACATCACAAAGTATTTTCAAGGTGAAATGAGCATTGAACGTAGCTCACCTCTGCCACTGTTGTAAATTCCACACTCCCATGGCAAGGACCAGTCACTCCATGACGGAGTCTCAACTTCATTACTCAGGACCTCCCCCGCATTCAGTGACGATCACCATCAGCGGCTTTTGGCTAAGCCATGGAACAAATACGGTTGCTGCATCACGTGCTTTCAGATGTGCTTCTGCGGCCGTCTGGAACGCTCTTCCTTCCGACATTAGTAAGCCACTGGAGCTATGCCATTGTCAATCGAGATTGAAAACACATTTCTTGAGAACTGCTTGTTGTGTTTAGTTTAATGTCCTGCCCCTGCACATCCGATTAGCACGGAATAAAAGACGGTCAATATATGCCAGACGCGTGCAGGGTGCAGGGTGAAGTCAATGCATTTGCATGTGAACACGTGGGTACCGCTGCTGTTGATAAGCACTGCCTCCATGAGACAACCTCCACTGATCCCACAAAACAGTACTCGATTTACCTTGCCCGGAGAAATGATGTGTTGAGTAAACCGTCTCGACCAGAGATTTGACCTCGCACCCTTCTGACCATTAATGTGGTGCTCTGACCTCTACGCCACCCTGCTAGACTTCATTATGCAACGCATTATCTTTATATAAAAAAAATAATAACAAGCAGAAGAATGCTCATTGCAACATCACAAGAGGATTTTCTTCTTAGACCCGGGTAATTTCTTTGTCAGAGGCTGTGGTGGTGGACGTAGGGGGTGGTGGTCTGATGAATGGGGTAGGCGGCGCTTTTGGCCGCAGCCACTCCGGGCAGGCATTGAGCTACGGGACACGTGATGCCAGAGACTTGGCAATTCCACGGCTGGAACGCCGAGAGCCACAAACGCGGCGCCGTGCCAGCCCCAACAACGCTCGCCACCTCTTGCGGGAGAGCCCATCGGAGTTACCTCGACCCACGGGTCGCGAATGTGCGCACAATGACAGCGCTGCTCGCAGCGAGAGCTGTCACAGGTGGTATAGCCGTGGTGGTTGGTGGTGGTGGTGGTGGCTGGTGGTGGTGGTTGGTGGTGGTGGTGGTTGGTGGTGGTGGTGGTTGGTGGTTGGTGGTATTGGTTGGTGGTGGTTGGTGGTGGTGGTGGTTGGTGGTGGTGGTTGGTGGTGTTGGTTGGTGGTGGTGGTGGTTGGTGGTGGTGGCTGGTGGTGGTGGTTGGTGGTGGTGGTTGGTGGTATTGGTTGGTGGTGGTATTGGTTTGTGGTGGTGGTTGGTGGTGGTGGTTGGTGGTGTTGGTTGGTGGTGGTGGTGGTTGTTGGTATTGGTTGGTGGTGTTGGTTGGTGGTGGTTGGTGGTGTTGGTTGGTGGTGGTGGTTGGTGGTGGTTGGTGGCGTTGGTTGGTGGTGTTGGTTGGTGGTGGTTGGTGGTGGTGGTTGGTGGTGGTGGTTGGTGGTTGATGGTGGTGGTGTTGGTTGGTGGTGTTGGTTGGTGGTGGTGGTTGGTGGTGTTGGTTGGTGGTTTTGGTTGGTGCTGGTTGGTGGTGCTGGTTGGTGGTGTTGGTTGATGGTGTTGGTTGGTGGTGGTTGGTGGTGGTGGTGGTTGGTGGTGGTGGTTGGTGGTGGTTGGTGGTGGTGGTTGGCGGTGGTGGTTGGTGGTGGTTGGTGGTGGTTGGTGGCGGTGGTGGTGGTTGGTGGTGTTTGGTGGTGGTGGTTGGTGGTGGTGGTTGGTGGTGGTGGTTGGTGGTGGTGGTTGGTGGTGGTGGTTGGTGATGTTGGTTGGTCGTGTTGGTTGGTCGTGTTGGTTGGTGGTGGTTGGTGGTGGTGGTTGGTGGTGGTGTTGGTTGGTGGTGGTGGTGGTTGGTGGTGGTGGTTGGTGGTGGTGGTTGTGTTGGTTGGTGGTGGTGGTGGTGGTGGTGGTTGGTGGTGGTGGTTGGTGGTGTTGGTTGGTGGTGGTTGGTGGTGGTGGTGGTTGGTGGTGGTGGTGGTTGGTGGTGTTGGTTGGTGGTGGTTGGTGGTGGTGGTTGGTGGTGGTGGTGGTTGGTGGTGGTGGTTGGTGGTGTTGGTTGGTGGTGTTGGTTGGTGGTGTTGGTGGTGGTGGTGTTGGTTGGTGGTGGTGGTTGGTGGTGGTGGTGGTTGGTGGTGTTAGTTGGTGGTGGTTGGTGGTGGTGGTGGTGTTGGTTGGTGGTGGTATTTGGTGGTGGTGGCTGGTGATGGTTGGTGGTGGTGTTGGTTGGTGGTGGTGATTGGTGGTGGTGGTTGGTGGTGTTAGTTGGTGGTTGGTGGTGGTGGTTGGTGATGTTGGTTGGTCGTGTTGGTTGGTGGTGGTTGGTGGTGGTGGTTGGTGGTGGTGTTGGTTGGTGGTGGTTGGTGGTGGTGGTTGGTGGTGGTGGTTGTGTTGGTTGGTGGTGGTGGTGGTTGGTGGTGGTGGTTGGTGGTGTTGGTTGGAGGTGGTTGGTGGTGGTGGTTGGTGGTGGTGGTTGGTGGTGGTGGTTGTTGGTGTTGGTTGGTGGTTGGTGGTGGTGGTTGGTGGTGGTGGTTGGTGGTGGTGGTTGGTGGTGGTGGTTGGTGGTGGTGGTTGGTGGTGGTGGTTGGTGATGTTGGTTGGTCGTGTTGGTTGGTCGTGTTGGTTGGTGGTGGTTGGTGGTGGTGGTTGGTGGTGGTGTTGGTTGGTGGTGGTGGTGGTTGGTGGTGGTGGTTGGTGGTGGTGGTTGTGTTGGTTGGTGGTGGTGGTGGTGGTGGTGGTTGGTGGTGGTGGTTGGTGGTGTTGGTTGGTGGTGGTTGGTGGTGGTGGTTGGTGGTGGTGGTGGTTGGTGGTGTTGGTTGGTGGTGGTTGGTGGTGGTGGTTGGTGGTGGTGGTGGTTGGTGGTGGTGGTTGGTGGTGTTGGTTGGTGGTGTTGGTTGGTGGTGTTGGTGGTGGTGGTGTTGGTTGGTGGTGGTGGTTGGTGGTGGTGGTGGTTGGTGGTGTTAGTTGGTGGTGGTTGGTGGTGGTGGTGGTGTTGGTTGGTGGTGGTATTTGGTGGTGGTGGCTGGTGGTGGTTGGTGGTGGTGTTGGTTGGTGGTGGTGGTTGGTGGTGGTGGTTGGTGGTGTTAGTTGGTGGTGGTGGTTGGTGGTGGTGGTTGGTGATGTTGGTTGGTCGTGTTGGTTGGTGGTGGTTGGTGGTGGTGGTTGGTGGTGGTGTTGGTTGGTGGTGGTTGGTGGTGGTGGTTGGTGGTGGTGGTTGTGTTGGTTGGTGGTGGTGGTGGTGGTTGGTGGTGGTGGTTGGTGGTGTTGGTTGGAGGTGGTTGGTGGTGGTGGTTGGTGGTGGTGGTTGGTGGTGGTGGTTGTTGGTGTTGGTTGGTGGTGGTTGGTGGTGGTGGTTGGTGGTGGTGGTTGGTGGTGGTGGTTGGTGGTGGTGGTTGGTGGTGGTGGTTACGATGCTTCGTTCGTACGCTGCACTAGCAACCCAGAGGTTGCCGGTTCTATTCCATCTCCCGGTGCAGCAGTTGAATAAAACATCACGGCGCGTTTCTCAAATGCCTCCCACCACTACCACCGCCTCTCTCCGCTCAGAAGTTCGTCTATGATGGGCAAGTCGGGTGTGCATAGCGCAGGATTTCTTTTGGGTTAGATGGCGTCTTTAATCCCGCCACCACCCGACACAGCCAATTAGTAAGGGTTGTCACGTAAACAGAACGTGCCAATTCGTCACTAGTACAGCACACCGGTGTGTTGGATAGCAAAGCCACAACATTTACAATCTGAATACGACGTTTCGCCAGTAATAACAACCGGCATGATCAGGCGGCAGCCAGATTTGTGGAGAATTCATCCTGATTCTGTTAAAGTGACAATCCTAATTGGCTTTGTCGGGTGGTGGCGGGTTTAACGACACATTTATATATTTACGCGATCTAACCCCCCCAAAACACCCTGTATTATGGTTGATATTGGTCGCGGTAGCCTCCTACGCGGTAAGTCTGATTGCGGCGGGCTAAAGTTTGGGTACGCCGACCTCTTCCGACGCGTCTGCTCGTCGTGGAAGAGGAGGCCAAATAACCCGCTCCAAAGTTCGCTCTCCGTGGAGGCCTTACGGCCCGTAGTGCCGTGAGCTAAGCAGTTGCAGGGCCGCTCCTTTACCTTGACCACTTACACTGCAAGCGAGTGGTCGAGTGGCCCGTGAGTCTTCTGCAGGGAAACGATAGCTCGCCACAGCTGCGCCATGCACACGCGCGCGCGCTTATGTTGCCATGAGAACAGTCAGCATCCTCCAGCGCTCGCATGTACCGGTGACCCCTTAAACCAGTCATGGAAATTCCACATTGCTATGATGGGAGCAACCTCGCCACACACACACACATCACACACTTGCGTGTGTGAGATGTGTGTGTGTGCGTGTGTGATGCGTGTGTGAGATTTGTGTGCGTGTGCGTTTTGTGGCGCGGTGGTTAGCGCTCTATGCTAAGGACCCTGCGACCCGAGTTAGATTCCGAGTGGCAATTGGTATCAGAACCTATTCCGGTACTCCCGCGTAATTTGACTCATTCTTAAATGAATAATTTTGTGTTGCGTAGTGTGAAATGAATACTTGTGTTGCGTAGTGTGAAGTGATCACTGGGGAGACAAAAGCGGCTGAGCGTAGTACTGGCCACATCACTCCGTCTGGGTCGTGGCGAACCTAAATAGGTGCTCGCACACAGCAAGTGGTCCGGAAAGTCTGTTCAGGCTACACGACGTATCTTTGTCTCTTTATCTTTGTGGGTGTGAATTCGTGTGTGAGTAAGCGCGCGTGTGTGTATTGAGTGGGTGTGAATACGTGTGTGTGAGTAAGTGGGGAGCGGTAGTGTAGCGGTTAGCGCTCTGCGCTATGAACCCGGCGACCCGGGTTCGATTCCCGTTCACGGCCAACATCAGTGACGAACCGGTCCTGGGCCTCGCCTAGGTCGACTCAGCCTCAAATGAGTACCCGGTGCGGTGTGTAAACATCGCCACTGGGGAGACAAAGGCGGTCGGGCGTGGTACTGGCCACCCACCCCATCGTGTGCCGTTCCGGCCTTCAGAGGTGCTACTCGCTAACAGCACTTGCCCCTACAGTCTGTTGAGGCTATACGGGGGATCTTTGTCTTTGAGTAAGCGCGCGTGTGTGTGAATACGTGTGTGTGAATACGTGTGTGTGAATACGTGTGTGTGAATACGTGTGTGTCAATACGTGTGTGTGTGTGAATACGTGTGTGTGAATACGTGTGTGTGAATACGTGTGTGTGAATACGTGTGTGTGAATACGTGTGTGAGTAAGCGTGCGCGTGAGGTTTTGTGTGTGTGTGTGTGCGATGGTTTGTGCACTGTAGCGCACTGCGTTACGAACTCGGCTGACCTTGGTTCAATTACCGGCCACAGCCAAATCTGTGAACCGGGTCTCTCCTGGGTCGACTCAGCCTCAAGTGAGTGCCCGCGGTGTTCCCTGAAAGCAACATAACCGGGGGAGACGAAGGCTGCCGGGCGCGACTCCGACCACATCACCCCCTCGTGTGTGTGCCGTGCCGGCCTTAATATGCACTTGCCCCAACAGCCCGTGTAGGCTACTGAAGGGGGATCTTTGTCTTTGTGTGAGTGAACGTGTGAATGTGGGAGTGAGTGAGCGTGTGTGTAGTTTGTGTTGGTGAGCGCGAGTCTGCGTAGTGACTGAGCAGTGGCGAGCTTACTGCGCTGCGAACCTGGCGACCCGAGTTCGACTCCCGCTCACGGCGGAGGACATCTCGTGCGATGAGTGAGCATTGCCACTCGGGATACAAAGGCGGCCGGGCGTGGTACTGGTCACACCTTCCCCCCCCCCTCGTGTCCCGTGCCGGCTTTCATCGTTGCTCGCTAGCTGCACTTGCCCCAACAGTCGGTTAAGACTACACGGGGGATCTTTGTCTTTTGTATGTGTATGTGTACGCAGCTGTCGTCAAGAACATGAGTGGGCCGGTTTCCAATGACGACTTTTGACAATGCATCTGCAGGGACTTGTTAAGCGGTATTATCTCTACAATAGCTGAGCGCTATCGCAGTCGCCATGCGGATGAAAATGAAAGCGAGAGACCGCGATAATTAGGCGGTCTGTCTGCAACACTCGGCTAAGTTCAAACTCTCAACCCACGGGCATCGCTCCTCCTCCTCGGAATGTCGTGATGCCCACACGCTCCGTGCACACGCGCGCTCCGTACGCGTGTGCACGGAGCGTAATGCAATATTACCGCACGTTCAAAGTGCCTATCGTCTGCTGTGATAATAAAGTCTTTCACGTATGTAAACGAATGTACACGTATTCGAGTGTACTCCAGACGTGCTGTAAAAGACTCTGCTTTTAGAGTTTCATAAACAGTTCATTGCGTTGTTTGTGAATCCCTACATTCCTCTGTTGTTATGTATCCGTCGTGTCACGTGTGAGTACGCAAAAGCCCTTTAACGCTGTACCACAAGCGTTACACGTGTACATGTGTACGCGTCATCGAGTAACATTGTTAGGTATATGGATACGAGCTATGAACAACAGTATGCACTCATGTGTGGGCATACTACGCTGTTCACATTCTGCGAGGCTGTGGTGTCAAACACCCCGTTATCCATGCACAGAGTCGAATCGACTCGCCGAACATTTCCCAGGTGTCTGGTAGGCTGAAATATCGGTGGAAAGTAAACGATATAATAGCGACGAGATGTATACTGGACGTGGTGGGCCGGCTGCGGACATTTACTTCGTCCGGGTTTGCGACCCGGACAGTCCCGGCCGAGATTAATCTCCGGGTTTGTGTGCCGAAGCTGCCCAAAGCACCTCACTGCCTTTTACATTGTCCACACAAAAACAAACACAAAAGGTTAACAGAGTGTTGGGGCAAGCGCTCTGTCAGCGAGCTTCTATGAAGGCCGGCGCGGCACACGAGGGGGTGGGTGGCCAAGCACCACGCCCGGCCGCCTTTGTCTCCCCAGATAGCGAACTCGGGTCGCCAGGTTTATAGTGCAGCGTGCTCACCGCTACACTACCGCTCTACACACGCACACGCGCAGACGCGCATGCCGTGTTGTGCGTTTCAGCGTGTGCATGTGTGTCGTTGCGTGCACGTGTGTGACAACACTCTCTGTAGATGGCACACACACACAAGCGGCACTCCGTGCGTCTGTGTAAGTGTGTGAGTGTGTTGTACGTGAATGTCTGTGTGTGTGTGAGCACCTATGAAGGCGGGCACGGCCTTCGTAAGGGTGGGTGGGCAGCACCACGCCCGGCCGCCTTTATCTCCCGAGTGGCGATATTCACACACCGCACCAGGTACTCATTTGAGAGCGCACATATGAAGGTGCTGCTTGTGAGCACCTTCATATGTGCTCACTAACAGCACTTGCCCCAACAGTATGTTAATGCTATACGGGGGAGCTTTGCCTTTGTACGTGTGCGCATAGGTGTTCGCTAACAGCACTTGCCCTAAAAGTCAATGAAGGCTATACGGGGCATCTTTGTCTTTGGGTGTGTGTGTGTGTGTGTGACAGCCCTGTCAGCAGTGGGAGGTGACTCACCGTGCTTGCAGCGGCGACCCGAGCGCTGCGTCTCACTGACACCACCACAGCCACAGCCACCACGAGCAGCCAGGAGGAGAGCAGCAGGAGGAGGAGGAGGTGGAGGAGGAGGAGGAGTAAGAAGGCACTTTCCCTTGCAGGCTCTCTTCACGATGCTCCCTGCTCCCTCGCCGCGCATAGACGCGCTGCGCACTCGGGCCCGGAGGCAGCGGCAGCAGCAGCAGCAGCAGGAGGAGCAGCAGCAGCAGCAGGAGGAGGAGGAGGCAGTGACCATCAGCCCCGCATCCCGGCCGCAAGCGCGGATTTATTGAATGAGCGAGGCGTCGCTTCCTGTAGCGAATCTCCCTTGGGAGGGTGACGCTATGGGGCGTCAACAACCCGGCCACTCCTCCACACGTGGCGACCCCCACCACCACCACCACCACCCACCCACCACCCCGCAGTCTCTTCTCAACCTCGACGTGAATTCATTCATTCGTTCGTTGCGTTCGTCGGGTCGCTCGGTCGAACGGCGGGGTCACTCGGTTCGTTCGGACATCCCCTCCGTTCGTTCTGCGCGTCGCGTCGGGTCACGCACCGCGTGCCTCCTCTGCGCTCGCAGCGCGCCAAAATCGTTGCGCGCGCTTGCGAGTTCGCTTCTGTGCCACTAGGTGGGGGCATTCATTCGCGGCGTGCAAATTTCATTCATTTATTCATTCGCGATTTCACGCGCGTTACACCCAGTGGCGCATTCGTTCGCTCGTGCAATTGATTCATTTCGTTCGCCAGTCGGTTCAGTTTGCGTTCTACCCACCGGTGAATTCGTTTGCCCGTGAACGCATTCATCCGGAGGTAGAAGAGCGTGACTTTACCGGCGATTCATCGCTGGCTCATTTCACTCACTTGGTTCATTCACTCATTATTCGCATTGGTTTGTCCATTCATTGATTCGCCAGTATATTCATTGGCCCGTATATGCACTGTTCCTCCGATATTGAATTGATTCGCCCTTGAATTCACTCATTCGCTTCTGAGTTCACCCGTGTTCTCCCCGTGATTATTTCATTCGAACCTCAATTAACTCATTCTCCTGTGTATTCGACCGTATTCTGGCGGAAAGTTCCTTCGCAAATATTTTTTATTTAATAATTCGCAAATTCATCGATTATCTCATTTGAGTTTTACTCAGTGACTAATTTGCTAATTTATTCACTTCCACGATACTCAGTGGTTCATTCAGCGGTGTATTACTCTCTTCATTCCCTCAGCTGCGTTCATTCATATTCACACATGCTGTCAAATTGTAACCTTTAATTTTACTCTCATTCACTCGACCCCTCATTAATTTGCACTCATTCGCTATAATTGCTTCCTCACTCGTCATTCAGTAATTCATCGAATTATCTCCACGTAGTATCTCGTGAACTCATTCACTACTGCGATTCATTCGCTCTACGCTCATTTACGCACTCGGACAAAGCGTCACTACGATTGCATTCACTCATCCATTATTCATCCACCAGTTCAAATATTTCGTTAACCCGCACGTTCACGACTCCGTCCGTTCGGTCGCTCACTGCCCCCATTCATTCACGCATTCGTTCACTCGCTCGTTCCCACTCGACGTTCAAGACCCTGAGACATCGGCATTCGCGAGAGACAGCAACACCGTGCGACGTTCCGCATCCTCAGTGCGTAACACTCCCCCGAAAGCCATTCAAGGGGCCCCGTGTCATTTAACGTGCACGTGAATTGTGGACATCGTGAAATCCACCCAACCGATCTTCCGTGAGCATCAATTAAAGTCACGGCAGCGTCCTTCGTTTAACCGTTTTGGTGAGCCCCGCTGAGAGTCATTGTTCATCGCGTGCTTCGTTATCGACGAGCCGAGGCCTGCGATTCCGTCCGGTCTCATCAGATCAAAGTCTAAGCAGGTTTTTTTTTTACCTGATTAACGATTGTATGGGAAGCTGCTTGGGAAAAAAAAGCGTCGTAGGCTTGGGCTGCGAGGAGATAGGGATATGGCAATCGAGCAATGGATTATTGAATCCATCTGTGTGGGGCTTTGAGCGCTACTCCCTCGCAATCCGCGATGGGGGTTTCTGCGGATCCGTCTGTTTCCTCCCACACGAGGCCAGACACTCATTAATAGGATTGGCCAAACATCACAATGCAGCACCCTCTTGAAAGGGAGCGTTGAGACTCAGCGAGGAGGGGTCAACAAAGGGCATTGTTGTTCTTCTTTGTTGTTGTTATCTGTTTCGCACGTGGGTCACCATAGTAACGTCGCTGCGGCTATTCAAACGAGTCCTGTTTGTCGTAGACCTGTGGCTGAATTAAGCGCTGCGATCTCAGATGTGAACGCCGCCGCGCAAGTATCGGTGTCATTTGGGTCTTTCACGTCCGTCCACTGCGTGCAGGCGTCTCGGCTCTTGACGAGTCGCAACGCCCCAACGGGAGTCCCGCGGAGGTCGCTGTGCGAATCGAACAGCGACCTCGGTGCCGAGGGGCTCAGTGGCGAGATTGGATCGGAGGAGAAAACCAACCTGCGCCGTTCCTTCGCCGCGCCGCGACGACACCACTGAGTTCAATTCGCACGATTCCACACCACATGTACAGCGCTATGTCGCGAGTTCTATTCGCACGAATCCACACCACATGTACAGCGCTATGTCGCGAGTTCTATTCGCACGAATCCACACCACATGTACAGCGCTATGTCGCGAGTTCTATTCGCACGATTCCACACCACATGTACAGCGCTATGTCGCGAGTTCTATTCGCACGATTCCACACCACATGTACAGCGCTATGTTGCGAGTTCTATTCGCACGATTCCACACCACATGTACAGCGCTATGTCGCGAGTTCAATTCGCACGATTGCACACCACATGTACAGCGCTATGTCGCGAGTTCTATTCGCACGATTCCACCCCACATGTACAGCTCTATGTCGATCCACTGCCGGATGACGCTACCCGTACACTTTCTTGAAACCAATGGGAAGGCATGGTGATGTCCCATAATGGGGTTCTTTTGTGATGGCGTGCGCACGCGTGTGGCCAAATCATGCGGAATTCCCATGGCAAGGGCCAGTTTATCCTCGAGACGACCACTGAAGACGTTCCCAGAGTGGTACCAATTTTATCGACCCAACAGCGACCTGCGTTCTGTATTTGGACGAGCAAGCATCCGCTTTGTGATTCTGTCTATAGCGGCCTGCATACTCCGGTGCAACGCACCAGACTTATGTAAGATGCGCATATACGCGCACACCGTATATCAACCTTAATCGCATTCATCTCAACTCCACTCCACGACTAATGGCCCCATTTTGGTGAGTAATAGCTCATTGGCAGAGTCTTGATCTAATTAGCGATAAGCCGCCGTGTCGTTTCAATTTTGACCCTAGCGCCGAGCCATTAGAACGATTGACACGATGGCCATTCACTTGCGAAGAATAACCCGCCAAACTCGGGCAGGTGTCGTATCGCGTCGTCTAAACGATTTGCCGCGGCAGCAAGAACGTCACCTCCGACGAGCGACTCGAAGGATGATGTGCGCTTGCAGAGACCGCGGCATTTGATGGAGATCGTGTGAAGGATTGAGCTGCACAGGTCGGGGGGGGAGGGACTCGTAACGGTGGACGGAGATTTCAGATGGCCGCTGCATAGGTCAGCCGCAACAACAACAAAGAAGGCTGAGCTCGTCAGAAGGCTGAGTGAGCTGGCGTCGTTGAGAATTTCCCAGTGACTAAGTCATTGTCTTCGACGGCGCATCAATGGCTGAAACGGCGTACGAAAATCAATTTGAGTTAGCACTTAATTCACGCTACATTGCAAAGCCGAGAAATTAAACAGATCGGGTTTGCTGTCACGCAGCAGGTCTGTGATATCTACTTCAGTGGACCGTGATCCACTTTCCTGGGAGAGATCCCAAATGGACGCTGCCTCTTAAGACGTGACGCTGACGGCACACACGGGATCAAGCAACCTGCGTTTGTTACATAGCCCTCTGTGGCAGTGGGTATACATTGTGGAGTGCTAACTTTGGTGGCTTAAATAGGGGGAGGGTATTGTCATGTTTACTTTCGCCCACGACGTAAATGCACGATGTACGTGGATGTGATCCACACATGAGTGGTGATGTAATTTAGCAGGCAGGATAAAGTAGGTATGGATAGGCGTCACACAGATGCGATAGGGCAGTAAGGTTAAAGGTCAAGAGAACAACGAGCATATCCACGGTGCCGCGTCTATTAAAAAAAAATCAAAGATGCGAGTCATTGTCCCGACTCAAATGAGCGCGATGGTAATTCTACGTTCCCATGACGGGTGCCAGTGTTGGTGTCCAGAATCCACCCTGAGCGTGGAGGCTTCACAACTGCCCATGCACGTGCGCCTTTGTAACGAGATCCAGGGAATAGGCGGCGAGATGCATCACGACCTTTCAGACTGTGGGAGAAGAAGAGGAGCGACCCCCCCACCCCCACCCCCCGTCGTGCCGTGATTGATGGAGGCTAAAACAGAGGTAAAAGCAGTGACAGCTCTCCTGCTCGCAGGGCAATGGGACGGTAGGAACCATTGCGGCAGCGCATAGTTGCACATTCCCGTGGCTAGGTCCATGCCATCTACATTGCCACCACTGTGGACTCTCTACACCTCGATATTCATTTGATCGACTCTGCAGTGACGGTGATGAACCATGCTGCCCCCTTATCCCCCGAGCCTCGCGTTGGCGAGGTACGCTTTTGACGGCATACATTGACCACTTGGACGCATTGCTAGAAGATGGATGGACAACACTGGTGTTGTAACGTCAGCTAAAGGAGAGAAGAACACGCCCATGATCACCGCAAGAGATGAAGTGATGAGATCAGCTCATTCGCGAGGCTGTGGCATCGCGGCACCACGAGCAATGTGCGACGGTGCGAAGAAGCCTTCGTCCAGTAGAAGACTGATGTTGGCTGCTGCTGATGCATTCTATGGCATGAAAGGCTAAGGAACTTTAAAAGTTCGGAATAGAACACGGCAGTAGCGCGTTGTAGATGTGATCAAGAAGAGGAAGTTGTGATGAGTGGGACTCGCGTGCAGAGGGTGGAGGAGGATGGGGTAAGCAAGTTGGAGGTTGGCAATAGGAGGAGGCAGTGATGGGTGGGGCTCGCGTGGAGACGGTCAGTGATGGCGGTAGTGATGGAATCAACAGCATTCGTCACGATGTCTTGATCGTAATGAGATCGTTCGAAGGCGATTTGCAGGTGTGTAGAGATAGGCGTTTCAAGCGAGCGCACGGCACCAATCCCGACCCACAACCACTTCATTCCCAGTGCCAAGTCAACTGGAAGGATCCGGAAAGCTGCTCCAGAAAATATGTTAACACGTCAGCTCCAT